CATCGTTCAATTCAAAGGGCAGTGGTGTTATGCAAGTCTCAGCAACATTAAATACATATTGTGCTGTACGTAGTTTTCAGATAATATTTCTATCAATGCGTTTCCATTCTTCTAGAAAACTGTCTGGGCCAGCAACACAAACTCAATTGCTCGAGCAGGACAAACATCAACAACCTGTACGGGGACAATTGTGACTGTGGCGGCCTCTACTTCTGCCACCGGTAGTGATGGAGCCACTATCTATTGTTGTACAACAGATTTGTGCAACGGATCGTTGATGAAATCGGCAAGTATCTTGCTCGCGATGGCAGCAACTACTCTGAGCTTCTTTCTGAAGAAGTGAATATCACTTATGGATTATTCAAAAGACAATCTAAAGTTTTTTATAGTTTTTCCTTGCATCAGTCCTTTTTTTCCTTTTATTCCAGATTATTCCTTATTTTTTCATTTTACAAATAAACTCCGACTTTCATTCTTAATAAGAGTGTGAGTGTGCGTGTGGGTGTGTTCTGGTTCTTTAGCTCACACTCACACCCTAATAAGTCACAACTAGACTTTCTCAATCAAGTAATCGTGAAATTTTGCTCAATGTAAGACATCGTTGTCGAGAGGATAATTTTATGAATTTTGACGCAAACCGCTTTGAACAATATTGAACCCTCACTTTTCTGTGGATGTCATACGAAAAGTCCTGAACATATACATTTCGATCAAACGGGGGTCTTGACATGATTATATCTCAAGAATAGCTTAACCGATTGAGCTGAAATTTCTGATGGACATATATCTCTATGCTCATAAAATTATTCTCTCGACAACGATATCTCACATTGTGCAAAATTTCACGATTACTTGATTGAGAAAGTCTGGTTGTGACTTATTATGTGAAGTCGTTAATATGTGAAATTGAATTATAAGGCTTAAAATTGAGAAACTGGGTCCTCTGCTCTGTTTCTTATACTGGCATATAAAGACCTGATATTTTGGATGTATATCTAACTCGATTAGGCCTATTTACTGGCAAAAATTATGGATCACCGTGGGTGTTCGTAGAATCAGCTCACCGAGCTCTATATACCTATGGTATCAATTTCTGAAATGGAGGTCATCGCGTCTTTCATAAATAATACTCCTGAAAAAGAATCGTTTGTGTTGACAAAACTAGTAATAGTTCAATATTTTCATATTGAGGAAGAGCGTTTTATAATTGTTGGACAGCTGAGATTTCAAAGTTTTAAAATTTATTCATTAATGCTATTTGATCAAATTCAAACCAATATGGCCAATGATAAACTGCTACTATACGTTCATAGATATGGCTTAAGATTGGAAATAAAATCTTTGTTGTTTCCAAAATTTGATGGGAGGTGCTATAATTTTTGGACACTATATCATTAAAAACATTGACATTTATTTTTATCATTAGATTACAAAGTTAAACAGTCTATAAAAATTTCAAATCTTGTAAAAGCTTGATACAAGTCATTTAACTCTTTTCTAATATAAACAACTGAAGGATTAAGAATAAGCGAGTCAAATTTGATGAAACAATTATTAATTCTACACTACTATATAGATATAAGATTTTCGTTGCTAACGAAAGTTATATTCAACAATATTGTCTCTATATTAGCGCTTTCTATCTTTATGAATTTTCATTAGTCGAAGCTACTACCAATCAAACAATATCGTCTTTGTGGTAGCTTCACACAGATTACTCCTATTTCTAGTAAGATGCTCTTATCATTTTTTTTAAAAAAGAAGGATTGTTATATATAAAGTGGTGCACAAAAGTTTAAAACACTTTTTATTTTTTTTATTTCTGTTTTAAAGGTGAGAAAAAATAAACATCTTTATATATACATAGTCAGAATTGAAGTTTACATGATTCATTTA